GCTGCACTATGAGAGATTACCTGCTCAGACTGACAGCCTGTAGTTCTCTATTGCAGGTTTCCTGAGGCTGGTGAACGGACACAGTCTCTGCTCTGGGAGAGTGGAGGTGAATCTCAAGAAGACCTGGACCTCAGTGTGTGACTCTGACTTTGACTGGCAGGATGCAGAGGTTGTCTGTCGTGACCTGGACTGTGGGGCTCCTGCAGTGATACACAGACGGGCTCATTTCGGACAGGGCCAGGGTGCAGTCGGGGCAAAGCAGTTCCAGTGTAGAGGACAAGAGTCCAAACTACAACACTGCCCCACTGCAGCCAGGTCAAAGCAGCGCTGCTCCCAGAGTAGAGCTGTGAGTCTGACTTGTACAGGTAAGAGAGTCACATCACTGTCCTTCATGGAAACAATCGTTATAGAGTCGTAAATGGTACATATTGTGATTGGGTGATTTCTGATGTAGACTGAGTGATCTCCAGGGGAGAGTGGGGGAGGAGTGCCGAGTGGGGCAGCACGCAATCGGCAGGTTCTAGGCAGGGTCCCAAGCACACACCCCACACACCAGACTTAATTTAAAACAGTGATTTATTGCCTGGAACTTACAGTATATGACCTGGACCTGGTGCACTAGACATAGGAGCTTGTTGTTTTTGAGGATGTTGTCATTTTTGCAGATAACCAGGGTGTAGCAGAGGGGAGTGTGAGTGACCGTAGGACAGTCCCTGTGGCTGTGTCGGTGTTCCCATCAGCGCCCGGTGTGGAAACTGCTAGGGGAAGAAAATAACACAGGTGGTTTAGTGTAACAACTGAGGGGATGGTGCTTTCTGCCTGGGCTGGTTTCTGAAATGTACATCTACCAAAACTTTCCTTCAGCCTTGAGGATGAGAAAACTTATCAGCCTATGCTGTGCCAAAGCCTGTTTTAATAGTAGCAACCTATCCTTCAGCTCTCAGACTGTGTGGGGAAAAAAGTACAGTTAGCAGGTAGTAGGTAGTTTTTTCAATTGTAACAAAGCTGCTCACCGATGAAGCTCGGAAAAGTAAGGTAAACAGCCTGTGATGACAAGGGCTGTTACAGGAATATCAACGCTATTCTTCGGGCCTAAGACTGGAATTGTAGAGATGAAAAATGTAAGTAAAAACCTTCATCATGGGGACAATTTATTGATACTTTATTTCAATATGTGCCAGGCTGAGGCAATTATTGTGGAATTTTTTTGTCTTCTCCAAGTCCTTCTTGGTTTTATGTGGCCTAGAGCAGGGTGCTAATTGTCTCCTATGAGCTGCACATTGTTATCTTACGTATGGGGAAAACTTGGAAAGATAAGTCCCCAGGGAAAGTAGCACCTTTTGAGGAAACAATCCCTTATGGCATCACAATATCTGTTCTTATTATATGCCTGCAATTGGTTTCTCAGTCACTATATACTGGATATGCTAGTTTTTTTCACTGTATTGGTACTTTATTTTGTTGTATTTCTTGTTGCCTGGTGTAGTGTCATTTTGGTGAAGTCCTCTCCTATCTGCAGGATACACAGGGTTCAGGCTGGCGAACGGCTCTGACTCCTGCTCTGGCCGAGTGGAGTTACAGTGGTTCTTCAAGGACTGGGGGACAGTGTGTGACCTGTACTGGGACCTGACAGATGCCAGGGCTCTCTGCCAGCAGCTGGGCTGTGGGGAGGCTGTAGCAGCACCAGGACAGGCCAGGTTTGGACAGGGCAGTGGACCAGTATGGGCTGATGTGTTTGAGTGCCAGGGCAATGAGAGTCGTCTCTCACACTGCGCTGTCTCTTCATGGGGCAGAGCAGGGTGCTCTCATGGACAGGACGCAGGAGTCATCTGCTCTGGTGAGAATCGTGTGTTTAAAACACAGTGACACTCCCTCTGCTTACACACAGAAGCACACTGTTTTCATGATTGAATATCTGCTCTGTTACACACTGCCAGTTATGTAAGAGATGCAAAGATGAAAACACATATTCCTTAAAATGTGAGTGTGTTTTTAACATGTCATATCTATCTCAAATATTCCCTCAAGGTGTTATTAGGTTGTTATTTTCTTTCTGATGGATAGATACACAAATACACTGAAGACTAAAAATCAGTTTTATATTTATATTGATATCACTAATGTCTCTAAAAGATTAAAGAAAGTTCTGTACCTCAGTATCCTGTAATTAACATCTGACCTGCTTAATTAGTTTAATTAATAGAGCCTAATTAAACAGGAGCCTGAAAAGAAAGTGAGTCTCAGAAAGTCAAGGTTTACAGATGTTATGTTCTGCTGAGCCCCACACGCAGCTGACACTCCACTGGTGAAACATCACTCCTGTGGACAGAAATGAGCTCCTTTCTTCTCTTTCACAGACTCAAATATGACCAGAGATTCACCTGGAGCAGGTAAAAAGAGAATGAGGACTGTCTTAATCACATCAGTGCTGTTTTATTTGTAGTTTCATTTCTGGTGTTAAATTGCTCTTCTCACACAAGGTTCACAGTCTGATTTCTCTCTCTCTGTTTGTTCCACAGGCTTCCCTTCTTCAGCTGTACCCTCTTCCAAAACACCAGGTATGAATTAGCCCCTGTTCTGTATCTCCAGAGCTCTCAGTTTGTGTTGATGTCTCTGTTGCTCAGCGGAATCCCAGATCAGTCAGTGAGGCAACAGCTGTGTGTGTGCAGTTTTTTCTGTGTGTCACAAACACACTCAGGTCTTTGGGATCTAAGGCAAACACATCTATCTGAATACTGCAATTTGACACTGGTGGAGCTATTGTCTCTATGCCCAACAGTGGGTCAGAAAAAATAACTTATCTGGTATACTGTTTATGAACAATGTGGAATATATTAAACTTACTGTATATATTAAATATGTATACAATATAATAATATATATACATATATACTGCTTATGAACAATCTGTTACAATAAGTGTATATATTAAATTAATCAAAAGTCAAGAAACACTGTACTTGAACTGTATCTGCTGTGTCTAGTGGGCCGAGATAATCTTCAACTTGTAACAGCAGGACATGGTGATCTCTTAGTACTACACTGACCTCTGACCCCTGACCTCTAATTCTCTGCTCCTAGATCAGCTGTCCCTCAGGCTGGTTGGGGGAGGAGATGACTGTGCTGGGAGGCTGGAGGTTTATCATAATAGGTCCTGGGGGACAGTCTGCGATGACTCCTGGGACCTGGCAGACTCTCAGGTGGTGTGCAGGCAGCTCCAGTGTGGGACGGCCCTCAGTTCCCCAATGATGGCCTCCTTCAGCCAGGGAACTGGTCCCATCTGGCTGGACGAGGTGGGCTGTCTGGGGAACGAGTCGTCTCTGTGGCAGTGTCCCTCAGTAGGGTGGGGACAGCACGACTGTGGACACAAGGAGGATGTGAGAATCCTGTGTTCAGGTAGGGGAGATAATAAAAATTACAATGATTCAGATTATTTAATCCCACATTGTGGATATGGCTTGCATATAGAGTGCCTAGATATGTTTGACTTGTGAGGATGTGAGAATCTTGTGTTCAGTAAGTTAGCTAAATAAAATAATCCACATACTGGAATTCCACATTGTGGATATGGTTTGCATCTGGAGTGCTTAAATATATCTTAAATACAGTACATGAGCTGGATGCAGAATTAATTTTAAAATAAATATTTATATTGATGAGTTCAGGTGGGTAGCTGCGTCAGCATGCGTAGGTTGCAAAGGAACTAGTAATAGGTTCATTCCATGCTGAAAAAAAGAAGAGAGAAAACACAATGTTTCCGCCGTGGAGCCTTCTTCAGGTGTTTATATTGATGATACAGCTGGGAATGCACATATTCACATTCACATAACAGCGAAAATAAATAAAGAGAGAAAGAAACTCTGGCACTCAAGATAAATTCCCCTCCACTAGTGAATGGGGATAAATTCATCTCAGTCCTCCAGTAAAATCTAGGGTCCAAACTTTAAACTTCTCACATCAATTAGACCTGTTGTCTGTTTGGGTGTATTTGTCTTGGCCATTATCTTTCATGATTTTCTGCCATAAATGTTTTGTTTTGATTTGTTCAAAGAATCTTCCTGTCAGATCCTGTTGAACCACTTGGTGTTAATGTCACCCTGAGCCTCGTTTTCTCCACTCACAGCGCTACACCGCTCACCCTGAGCCACGCATTCTACTTTCATACTCAGTCTCTTAGTTCTGCTGCTGCTGAATAGCCAAGTTGATCAGAATGACATTTTGGTTCAGAACCTGATCATGTAATGGGATTTTAAAGCTCTGTGTGATGCACTGTCCAGATTCTGAATGAACAGAACCACACAGTCCTGTCACCTTCATGTCAACTGTGTGATTGTACAGCTGTCCTTATTTCATGACGTGAGTCAGTTATAACTGGATTAGTACAGGAAATGAGACTGGTTGCTGTCCACATTGTTTGCTGGTTGTTTCTTACCAGTTCAGAATGAAACGTTGGGCTGTCTTGTCAGTGTTTGTTTCCTTTGACTTTCCCTGCTGTCTTGACAGATCACACTCTCCTGAGGTTGTCTGCAGGATGTTCAGGACAGGCAGAGGTTTACTACAATGGCACCTGGGGCAGCATCTGTGCCAACGGCATGACAGACACTACAGCTGCAGTGATCTGTAAACAGCTGGGCTGTGGAGACAAGGGCACCATCAGAGAGACAAACTCCAGGCTGAGGCCTGATCCCAAATGGCTGGACTTTATCTCCTGTCGCAAACACGACTCCACCCTGTGGCAGTGTCCCTCCTCCCCCTGGGGTCAGAATGACTGCACAGACCGGGAAGTGGCTAACATCACCTGCTCAGGTACAGGGTGAAGAGTAATGCTCTGTGAATTAGTGTTTTGCCATATTTAGAACAGACAAAAGCTTTAAACTGAATTCTTATTAATTTATATCCAAGCATGTATAAAAATGAAAGCAATGTCATTGTTATTCATTTTATAATAATAATAATAATAATAATAATAATAATAATAATAATGATTTTATATGATTATTAATCTTTGAAGGTCCTAGAAAAGAAGCTGACAGAAGCACTCCAGCCCCTCAGGAAGAGCAGCCTCAGCTGTACTGCCCAGGTGAGTTCAGTGTGTAAACAGTCAGAGACACTGCAGCCCTGAGCTGAGGAACAGGAACCTTACAGCTCTCTTCTAGAGTCATTCAATACCTCACTAATCTCTATTAGAGTCACTGAGCTGAAGACACTCAGTAACCTCTCTGCTCTCATCTACAGTCACAGATCTAACGACACTCAGTAACCTTTCTGTTGTCTTTCAGTCCCACTGGCTCTGCGCCTGGCTGGAGGCACTAACTGCTCTGGCCGGGTGGAGCTGCGGTATGAGGGCTCCTGGGGGACAGTCTGTGATGACTCCTGGGACCTGGAGGATGCCCAGGTGGTCTGCAGACAGCTGGGCTGTGGGGA